AGATCCTCTCTACTTGGAACCCTTTGATCTGTCAACAGAGAAGACACACCTATCGGCAGGCTTCGTCAAACTCTATGCGTGACCGTTTCATAAGACCACTACGAACTTGGGCTCTAGTTGAATACAATAGTACAATAAAGGATAAAGGATAGTCTTCGCCGTTGATCAATCCCTTTGTGGGATGCGGCACGCATTCTACTTCCATTCAGAATCGTAGTGGCTTATTGAATGCGATGTGGCCTATACAATGACTTGCGGTGGCCAGCCGATGTACAAGTCAGTGTTTTATCCTCCCAGACGAATCTGGTACCAATTTACCGTCCCCGGAGGGTAGAAGGCTTGGTTGGCCTGGGCGGGAGTCGACCCGGGATTCGAACCCGGTGAGCGCGCCACTTGTCACTACACCACCTCCGCCTCATAGACCAGACCACGCTTTATCCTTTATAGATACGATACATAGGGAAAAAGGGGGAGGAGAGGAGGAGGCCGGCAGAGCCGGGCCGAGGCGTGAGACGACCAGCTCCTAGCGTAGGTGGCGGGGCGAAGCCATTCCATTCCATGACTGCCGGCTGGCAGCAGCTTAAATACTCATGGCCGCCGGTTACGAAAGGCTGGACGGCAGGTGGCATGCGACGATTGGCTCCTCTTGCCTTCGCAACGAGGATACGACATCTCCATTCCTTACAGTAAGCTCGTCCTCGAGCTTTGAGCTTCCATCATGTTGTGTTCGAAGTTCTTCTCGCAAGTATCCTTGAACGTATAATAGGATACATACTGACTGGCGAGAATATGTATACAAGTGAAGTGCTGATGAAATGAAAGGAGCGTCTGTTCTTTGCGATTCCTGGGTAGTCGTGTCCCAGGAAGTTTTCTTACCTTCTGTTCTCTTTGCCCCATCTCTACGCAAAGTTTTCTCTACTTAGTTCCATTTTGATGTCGTTAAAGTTTCCAGTGTGTAATGTTTTTTTTTCAGAATTTCCGTCATGCCGTACGATAGTCACTTCTCCTTGTCCGATATGTCGGCCGGAGAGGAAGGTTGTTTCACTGATGAAAGAAGAACTGAAATGGGAGGCGGCAAAATATCATATGGCTTTGAAGGTGAGTTCTAGTGGTTTGGGGAGGAAATTTGATTGGGAAACTTTGCTTTGCATTCAAGTCCCTTTTTTTATTTTTTAATGTGCTGGTTTTAGGAAAACCGAGAGGCCTGGGATGTTGTGTCCCGGATGACTCTTGGCCTAGGCTGGACCCGTCCAGCCTACTCCAGTCCTGAGCCGGAGTACCGGCCCAGTGCGCAGGTGGATCTCGAGGGGCCCGAGTCCCCCGAAAGTCCGCCAATGAGCCCGCACGGCTCTCACCAGAGCCCAAGGTGGGTTCCGCTGAGCCCGCAGGGCTCTCCCCAGAGCCCTTCCCCATGATGGGTGGTCTCCTACCCATCATGGGGAAGGAGGCCACTTCTGAGAGGGCCACCTCGTCGTTGAACTCTGTGTTACTTTGTTCTACCTAGGAGAATAAAGATTGTTGTTACAACAATATATTTTGTTTCGATGGTCATTATTTAGTGTGGGGGGGGAAACTTTCTTTATTGTCGAATAATTATCTTTAGAAATTATGCAGCGCCGAGAAATGAGCAGCCCTGTATTGGAAATCATGTTAAACGTCCAACTGGAGGTGGTGAGTAATTTTTTAATGAGTATTTGTTCCCAGTTTTCTTGGTTTCTTAGCGATTTATACCTCTATATGAAGAGAAAAATGAACTAATTGAGGCGTTTCAGCCACCCGTATGCAACGGCTGTGGAAAATCGGCTTTCACCGTTCGGGATATCTCTGAGAAGAAAACCCGGTACCTTGAATGATGGCCCAGAGGTTGGAGTTCGAGGAAGCTCAGGCCAACTGGCGCAGGGAAATGAATAAAGGTATAAAGGATTACTATGAAGCGCGTACTCTTACGTTGTGCCAGGTAAGAGAGAAAAAACAAAAAAATTGATATGAATTTTTTTAATGGTTGGCTTGGGACCAAGACAAGAAACTAATTTTTTCTCAATTGTAGGATACGAGGAGGGCAAAAAGGCATGCTCGAGACCTGGAGCGGAATCATGGCCCTACTCAGCGATCCAGAAGAGTCTACCCGGCTCAAGTGCCCAATCCGTGGGAAGGACCGGCCTAGAGCAGCCAAAGAAAAGAAAAAAATTAGCTGGCCGTGATTGAATGAGTCGTCTGTTTCGAAATCTTGTGAAGATTTTTCGAAACTTTGAGCTTATCGCTGCTCAATATGTCAATTTATTACTGTAGTTTTCCTTCTCCATCAGGAGAAAATTGTTAGTTGCAACTTTATATTCGTCGACTAGTTGGCTATCGGGTCCTTTCATATTATATATATCTTCGGTATTTAAAATTTCATATACTTATTGGCAGTTTCCTACTAATATTTTGAGTTTTGCCATTCTGTTAACTTATTTGATGTTCCTTTCTAGATGTTTTATTTTTGTGTTCAGAACTGAACATTGCTATGATCATAATGGAATTTATTTCCCCTATTTTCTATTAGAGTTGATATTTGTCAGTAACTACTGTTACCTGCAACTCTTATGTACGAATATTATGTCTATTTCTAATCAATATGGTGGGGATGACCTTTCCTTGACGTCGGAATCACGGCAATGGTCGCGGTATTACCCGTGAACGCTACAGACTGGCAGCAGGACGCTCTGCTTGCCACCGTCTGGTATTATATATGTGTCCCCTTGATAAATATTCAGAGTTACCCTTTGGTAATCAATTTCATTCCACGTTGAAGATGGGATTTTGCTTATTACGCGATATAGTGATTTGTTCACTAATTATAGATCTATCTTGGCGTATAATAAGTACCCGACAATACTCTATTGTGGTGGTACGGCCGAGAAGAAAAAGGAGGAACTCGTCGCCAGGACCTTGTTATAATGTATCGATGCATCGATGTTTAGTACTAGTTGGGGTGGGGATACGGTAAGGGTGTCCTAAGCTGTAACAAGGGTGATCTCGGAAAAAATGCAACAAAAAGCGAAAAAACAAGAACCGTAAAGGCGGGCGGCCCACGCATCATGTGCTCTGGTCGTCTGCGCTCCAAAGCCTGTTTGCAGGAATTCTAACTTTGTGAAATCAAACGCATAGCAGTGCTCCGAGAATGCTCTGTGAGTTCGAATTGTTCTTGTGAAGTACGCCGATCGGCGTCATAGTACGAACAACCCGATCGCCCATGAAACACCGTAGCATGCGCGCGGTGTACAAGAACATTTGAGCCAGTGTGATGCAGCAATGATTATCAAGTGGCGGCAAAAATATGACAAAAAGATCTTTTGAGTTCCTGAACTTCCGGTTGTTTGTATCGCGCGTTTGGCGCGCTGATCGGCCAGGGGGGCTGGGGTCGATCGTTGCAACACATTGTTAGATTCCTTGTGGCTGTTTATCGTTAACTAAGAGGTGTCAACCTTAAGTGAGACGCTTAGTAGTTCTTGTGGAGGCTGTCGAAAGGTAACAATGAGGCATAAAGGTTTTACAACGGACAGGTGTAGCACACGAAATCTTCTGGAATGGGGTAGGCATGGCTGTGTACTTCATCTAAATTTGGCGGTTGCTGTGCTTTCCGTGAGATATTTTCGTTTCGGGCCAGCTGTGGTCATGTCTCTGTCCTGACGCTGAGCAAGATGGTATTGTGCCATTACTTCAGTATGCCCCCGCCCCCAATTGCACAGTTTTTATTGTCGATGTTGCAAATGCACGCCGTACTCTCGTGTCAGGCCGTAGAGTGTAAGGTC